CATAAATAAATGAATAAATATAAGAGCAAGTTTTCACATATAAAAATTTCTCAAAAGTTTTTAGTTTTATTTATCAAGCCCCTTCCATACCCAGCAGAGCATATGGCCCTGTGTTTGTGCAAATCAGCAGTCTTTGCTTAAAGTGGATGTTTCTATTAACACTGTGACTAATTACTGAAAACAAACATGTGTAAGTATGATCTCTGCTAACTGCCTCTGTCAACCCATTTTTTCTTCTTGCTATTCATTCAAAGGGATTAAGATTGCTCACAAAAGTACAGTAGACCTCTATTTAGCCTGTTAACTGGCATGAAGAAACAAAGCCCATCAACCGCAATTGACGTCACGCCTCAGGAAATGTTTTTTACATTAGTAAAAAAATCGTGAAAAGTGAAAAAGTTTTAAAGAACCTTAAAACGCTGACTGTAAAGAGCTTTAACACTGGACATAAAAGCCTGGGTTTGGAATGGGTATTGAGGAACAAGTAATAYGACTATCTGTATTGCAGGGCAGGAAATCAGATGGAGGGCAGGCTTTTTACACTGAGGGTAACAAGCATGGTCTCAGTATGCAAGTCTGGACATCCGTGCATGCAGAATGGGCATCCAGAGAAACTTTTATGTCAGTCTTTCTTGTGGTTTTCTCCCATCCAGGGATAAAAACATCATGAGGACTCAAAGCATGCTCTTGGTCTTTATAAGATATAAAGATGAAAAAGCACAGATTTTTCTTGAAAATGTCCTTCAAAAGCCAGATTTAGCTGTTGCCCTGTGGACAGGAGTGGGACGCAGCAGTCTCTACATCTTCTCATCTGCTTGCCTATTTATGAAGAGGAAACACCAGCCTCCTTTGGAATATGTGTGCTCCAAAACAGGTACCTCTGTGGACCTGCTCCACTCCATGTCCTCTTCACAGACCTCAGTCCCGGGCTAGTTATGGCCCTAGAGAAACTGCTGGGCTCTGAAGTGCCACAGCCAGGGGTGAAACATAAGAGCTCCATGCGTCTGTTCTCATGCACACATTAAATGCCCCTAAGAGGAGGCAGCTCTGCAGGAGAGAGAGCTCGTATACTGCTTTACACAGTCGTGCTGTCTGCTTGGACAGCTTCAAGCTGTGGGATGGGGTCTCAGCGTGTTTCAGTGCAAGCTGTACATAATATAAAAGTAAATTGYATGCTAGAAAATTGCACAAGTCTCCATCTGCTGATTTCCCCAGCACACAGTGTGGTTGGGAGCCAATTCCCTGTCATTTCTCCTCTCTTGCACTTTACACAGGGTGTTTCCTTTATAAAACCACTTGCCTTTGGCTTTAATGATTTCTAAGGAAGCATAACTCTGTCACTGTGCCCTGGCGCTTAATTCCTCCTTTGTCATTAGTGCCTGCGCYGTGCAGCCCGGGGACGCCAGCGTGCTCCTTGAACTGTGCGTGCACTTGGTGCGCTCCTGGGCTTGTGCCCATGCCTGCAAGCTGGTGTTTGATCTAGACTGAACAAGATGGCCTTAGCCTTCAAAGCGAGCCTGTTTACATTCCTTGCCCTATCTAGCCTCTTTTTTTTTTTTATTACTGAGTGCCCCCAAGATAGGTGTCTTGCTGTTAGAATAAATACCTTTTGCATTGCGCTTTACCCCGGTACTCTCAGCAAGCTTTTGCGGAGATGGGGAAACACTGCAACACTCCATGCTGTGGATGGAAAAATGGCAGCATAGAAGAACGGGGATTTTCTCAGGCATGCAGTATAAACCAGACAGAACAGGCAAGGGAAAAAAAAAAAAAAAAAAAAGAAGCACAAAGCAGGCATTTACTGCTGAAATCATCTTCTGTCAACCCATAAATGCTATCATGTCCCAGGTTGGATATGCCTCAGAAGAAGGGGAGATAAGTGACTCAAATCATGGTTTCCTTTGAGTAGGTAATTTAAACTTAGCACCTCTTCTCCAAAGATGCCAAAAGGCCTGGTTTTGACTAATRCTTCTCATGAGAAGTCACAGGAGAGAAAAGCAGAGTTATTGAACACTTGCTGTACTTACTCTAAACCTTAGCTTGTTCTGTTAACATTGGGATCAGGACTAAACTATTGTTTAGATCAATACGGTGTGGTCACTGAGTTGAGAAAAGAATGAGCAACAGCTTCTGGTAAAAGCCTACATTTAAGATGGCCAACACCTTATCAAGTCAGGGATGACAGTATGAAGTGCAAAAAAAGAGAGAAAAAGACAAAAAAATGAAAAAAAAAAAAGATGGAACCTTTCCATATTTTTATATTTAGCAGTTTAAATGTTTSGTGTAGGCTGACAAGATTTTCTATTTTCAGAAGCCTAAGTTTCAAAGCCCAACTACTCTTTAAGCAAGTTTCCTTTCTAGTGTGAATGCCATTTAATAGGAGGGAACGACAACTTTGGGAATGATCATTTGGGGAGTCGAGTTCACTGTAAATGTCGTGACAACTACTCACATGAATAGCTGAAGAACAGAGATTTCAATGCATATATAAGTGCTAGAC